ATCTCCAGCGCTCCCTGCGCCTCGCCGACAAGCCGTCAGGCGGGGGACCAAGAGGTGGAGCAGGCGGGCACGGCCAAGGATCGCGGGGAGGCGGCCCCAAAAGGCACGGGTCGTCCCTGTCCATTGCACGCATTGATGAGCGGGAGAAAGATCAAGAGAAGCACCCATCCCATCCCAACCTGGGACAGCGCTGCCGCCCAGTGGGTGATATCAATGTTCGCGCCTGGAAACAGGCGCAGCAAGGCAGACAAGTCAGCGACAAATGGCGCGACGTTGGCAAGAGCAGCAGGGGTGCTTGAAGGAGAACAAGCACCAGCAAGAACACCAACCTCAGGGGCTGCAGGCCCCATGGGGGGAGCGCTCGACTGAGGCAGGTGACGGCCAAAATGGCCGAGTGGATCCGAGGGGCGGTTCGGAGCAGAGCGAGGGGCGTGGTGGCGGAACGTACTCCTCCCTGCGGGGCCGCAACAGCATCGCTGGAGGAGCGCATTCCTACCCTCACGCCCTCGCTGCGCCCAAACACGCCTGGCAGCCGTAGCAGCGTCGGCGCAGACTGTCTGCGGCGGCGTACCCCGGCCACGCGAAGGCCCCCCCTCCAAGAAGGCGGGCGCCAAGGGCATCTTCAGTCCTTCTTGGGCACCGCCTTCGGGGCCTTGGGAGCACCCTGAGACTTGAAGGGGGGCTTTGAGACCTTGGGCTGCTTGGGCTGATGAGGTGGATGCTTGGGGAGCGCGACGGCGCGCTCGGCGTCGAGGCGCGCCCGAAATGCTTGCAGCTCCTTCATGTATTCGCCCTGCGCCGACAGCCAGCGAGGATCCACTAGGGGTGAAAACGGGGTCTGGGCCTCGCGCTCCGTGTGACGACTGGTCACGCGACACGGGGGAGGCTCCAGCCCCGTGAGGAACCAAGCGGCCTCGAGGTAGCCGCGGTCCCCCGCCAACTGGTCGATGAACATGCACTGGCAAGTCAGCAAGGTCTGGACCCTCTCGGGGTTGCCCTCCTCGCAGGCCCGCCACAGCTCGGCGCTGAGGAAGGCAAAATGCGTCAACAACTCGTGCGTCGACGGCTGAGCCCCGAGGGGGCTGTGCTCGCGAAAGTACTGATGCATGGCCATGGGGGTCACGGCGCTGACTTCCACGCCCAGAACGCGGGCCAAATTCTCCTTCATCAGTCCTCGCACGTCGGGGCCGTGCTGCATCAGCGCTTGCTGCCACTCGCGCCTCCGAGCGATTCCCCCCATCTGAGCCGATGCGTGCGCGGGGTCGCCCGAGGTCGCGGGCGGAGTTTGAGCTTGGTCGCTCAGGGTCCCCAGAAGCGGGCGGAAGGCTGGGCGATGGCCCCGCCCCTGCTGCAAGGAAAGGGACTGGTGCAGGCACTGAAGCACGAGGCTGAAGTCCGTCGGATTGGCCGCAAGGGGCGGCTCTAACCCGTCGGCGCCGCCCGCCTCGGCAAAGCCGTCAACCGCAGCGGGATGGGCTAGCCCAGGCGGCGGCGGGGGGCCCATCGGTCCGGAAGCGGACGAAGGGGCCCGAGGGACAGCAAGAGAGCGCGCCTTCTCCCACGCCGAGACCAGCGCGGAGGTGGGTCCCTTGGGCGCGCGGAGACCCGATGTGGGGCCACGGGCGCGTGGGACAAGACGGCCTCGATCCCCGCAGGATCCAGCCCGAGGCGCGCCGCCTCGTCGCTGAAAAGCTGAGGCACCTCGGGCCGAACGCTCCGGGCAGCCGGAGCGGGGCCCAGCGGTTCGGGTCCGCCGACCATCGTGGAGGCCGCGTGGGCTGCAAGCAAGGCGCGCATTTCGGCAGCTACCTCGGCGCGGGTCATGGGAGCCCCGTCGTCCAGAGACGCCGCAGGAGCACCAGGAGCAATCGGAGCAGGACCCGCGACCCGTGGCGGCGCGGCGGCGCCAGCGCGCTTGGCGGGCGGGCCGCGCGGCGCTCCAGCGACCGCGGGGGCTCGCGCACTTGGGGCCGCGCGGTCGGCTTCCCCGTCGGCCGCGAACCCCTCGGGCTCCTCCATCTCGTCGGCAGAGTGGTAGGGGGTAGCCCGATCGGCCCCTGGGAGAGGCTCTTCCCCTGCGGTAGGCGGGGCGCCGTGCAAACGAGCGTAGCCCTCGCGAAGCACCCGAACCCCCGAAGGATGCGGCCAATAGACGCGGCTGCGCACCTCGGCGAAGGGAACGATGCCTGCGTCGTCGCCGACCTCTAGAGGGTACAGCGACTCGAGCTCGAGCTCGGCAACCTCGATATCTATAACGAGGACGGATGCGGTAGTGGCGAGCGGCCGTGAAGCGGCCCCCTGGAGCTGGACGTCCACTAGCTGGAAGGGGCCTATCATCCCAGCAAAGCCATCCGCCTCGGCAGCCTCGAGCTCCGCTGTAGAGCGAAAGGCACCAGGCAGGGCCAGCAGGATGCCCCCTTCTCGAGAGGCGAGGGGGATAGCCGCCCAGCTGGTGTCGCCGTCGTCTAGGCGCCATCGTGCGTAGTCGCGCGCCGTGGGCGCAGCGAAAGGGTAGAGCTCGGGCCAAAGGGGCCCTCCGCCAACTGGTGGCAGCTCCGCCATCAGTGGGCGCCGCCGTGGACGCCGCCGCCCGCACGCTGGGCGTCTGCCCGCTCGAGCGCTTGAGGTCGAGGCGGAGCCCCGTAGGCCAGCGCTCGCGCCGCACGGCGGTCCTGCTCAGGTGAAGCAGAAACCGCGCCGCGCGGCCAGGCGGAGGGCCAGAGCCTCCGCCACACGTACGGGCCCAGCAGCCCGAGGCAGCAGCCCGCGCAGGCGCTGCAGGCGGCCGTCACCCAGAGGAGGGCGGCGACCGTGCTGAGCAGCCAGGGAGAGACCCCGCCGCTCAGGTCCACCGCCAGCCCGAGGCAGACGGTGGGGCAGGTGGAACCCGCCGAAGGGAGAGGGCAGGAGGCCCCCTCACCCTCGGACGAGTCCGCCTGCTGGATGGACCAGGCAGGCGATGGAGGCCCCTGGTCCTGAAGCACAGAGAGGGGGGCAGCCACGAGCCGCTCGTAGAGCGCGGCCCGCAGCCCCCTGAACAAAATCTCCCCAGCGCCCTGGAGAGCCGCTTGTGCGACCGCCAGCATAAGGCGCCCGCACGCGCGGCCGACGGGGGGCACTTGGGCAGAGAAGCTGCGGAGACAGCAGGAGCTTGCTCACAGAGAATAGAAGAGGCATCATGCTCAGCATGATCACCATCATCACCAACATTATCAACAGTATCAGCCGGAGCTTCATAATCGTCGTAGTCGTCACACTCGCACGTATTCCTCATCATGATCATCATCATCACCATCTTCATCATCATCATCATCATCATCATCATCATCATCATCATCATCATCATCGTCATCGTCATCATCCGCATCAGAATCGTCATCATCAGCATCATCGACATCATCCTCATCACCACGGCAAGGCTGGGCATCGACTATCATCGATCATCATGATCAGCAGCATCATCAGCAGCAGCATCAGCATCAGCATCATCATCATCGCCATCATTCATCACTATCATCACCCTCATGATCATCATCATCATCATCATCATCATCATCATCATCATCATCATCATCATCGTCATCGTCATCATCCGCAGCAGAAGCAGCAGCATATGTAGCATCATCAGCAATAGCAGTAGCATGAACATCAGCATAGCATCATCACCGCCATCGACAGCATCCCAATCATCATCAGCATAACATCTTCTTCATCGTCAGCATCATCAGCATCAGCATCACTATCATCAGCATCACCATCATCAGTGTCACCACCACCACCATCATCAACATAGACATCATCATCAACAGCAGCAGCATCGTCAACTTTTTCATCATCGGCAGCATCGTCAGCAAACTCGTCATCACCATCATCATCAGCGTCATCGTCATCATCATCAGCATCATCAGCAGCATCAACATCGCCGTCGTCGTCAGCATCAGCAGCATCATGATTTGCATCATCATCAGCATCAGCACCGTCACCGTCATCGTCATCAATAATCTCTCCTCCTTAATCTCTTCTTCTTGTCGAGGGCAACTTGGGGTGTCAGGGGCGGTCGTGCTGTAGTGGTACCTTCTGGCGCGCGTTCACGGGTTCTCCTGCGCACCTGCATCCATCAAATCGGCGAATCCGCCCAGGCGGCGGCGGTGAGTGTCTTTCTCTCTGATATTGGGGCGCATTGAATGCATATCAGCAGCCTTGTATGGCCGTGTAGTTTTCCAGTGGAAGCCCCAGCCCCCAAAATCATCCGTTTTGAAAAAAAACGTTTCTCGATATTTTGCTTCCCAGAAGCTTTCACAGTCTGAAGACTGCCCCAAGACGACACAAGACCGAGCCAAGACGCCTGCTAGATTCCCCAAGGCTCGCCCAAGATGTGCCAAAGACTTCCCAGAGTCCTCAAAGCGCTGCCAAGAAGAGGTGCACACATGCCCACAAGGCTCACCCGAAGAGTTCCGAGCAAGGTCCCAGTAGCCGAAACCATCTGAAGCACTTCCTGTGTCTCAATATGTGTTGCTTCCCCAGCTTGTCAGCGTCAGATAGCCTCGGGAAAACTTCAGAACCGCGAGACGGCCCCTGATGGCCCCGATAAGCCAGCAAGATGGCCCAAGGCGGCCAGACGACCGATTTGATCCCATTGACAGCCGCATGAGAGCTCCCCGAGACGCCAAAGGATCACCCCAAGGTAGTTCTTGTATGTAGTATCGAGCCTCTTCAAAAGGGCTCGGTAGGACCATCACGCCCAAGACAGCCCGAAGACACCCATCCGCTATGCGTTTCGAAGCTGCGCTGGACATGGTACCGGGGTCTGTCGCAGGTAGCTGGATAACTGGAAAATACTCGAGGATCAAATAACGTAGGCAACATCCACGAATATCTGGAAAATAGACCAGGATCAAACTACAGAGGCACACTTTCTAGCCCTGTACGAGGCAGCCTCCACGAAACTACAGAGGTAGCCTGCACGAGACTACGGAGGCGACATCTACAAACAATGCCCGTCACTTGCGGCACGTCTCGTAGTTGGCAACGAACCAGTCGACGGACTTCTTGATGCCCTCCTCGAAGGGCGTGAATTTGTGGTCTGGGAGGAAGGAACGGAGCTTCTTGTTGCTGGCGGTCTTCTTGTGCTGACCATCAGCCTTCGAGGTATCGCAGACCACCTTGCCCTGAAAGTCCATCGCCTTCGCAATCGCCTCAGCCACAAACTTGATCGACACCTCGGCTTCCTCGTCGACGCTAAGGATGATCGGCTCGACGGAGTCGTAGTTTCGTAGCGTCCACACTGTCAGCCACGCAAGGTCCTTCGAGTATATGAACTGCCGCAGCGGGGAGCCACTACCCCAAATGGTTAAGTCGGTGCCGTCTCGCTTGGCAATGTAGCACTTGTGAATCAGCCCTGGGATAACGTGGCCATCATCAATGGAGTAGTTGTCGAACTCACCGTAAATGTTGGTGGGGATTACGGAGGTGTAGTTGAGATCGTACTGATCCTTGTAACAGTGGTTGAGGACGTCCACCATGCGCTTCGCACACGAGTATCCCAAGTTTGAGGTGTGTGGCGCGCCGTTGTGCAGCATAGTCTCGTCAATCGGGTAGGACGTCTTGTCGGGAAATATGCAGGTCGATAAGCAAGACACTAGTTTCTTCACGCCGTAAATGCGACAGCATTCCATGACGTTGTCGTTGATCAGGGTGTTGTCGCGATAGAAATCCACTTTCTTCCGCATGTTGTGGAACAGGCCGCCCACCTTGGCGGCCAGGTGAATCACGTGTGTCGGCTTGTGCTTCTCGAAAATTGCCTCCACGGCCTTCCTGTCTACGAGGTCCCCATCCTTCGACGAGAGGAACACCCACTCCTCGTCTTTGGCGGCCTCGTCCTCCTGTGAAGGGAACCAATGGAAACTAGCTCAGACAAAGGTTGGGGCAAGCCCCTCCGCTTGATTAGCTCGTGTTGGATTAGCATGATGTGTCTTGCCAGCCCCCTCCATTTGACACATTTCCAGGCCTTCGAAAGGGGATTAGCGCTAACGCCTTGTGAAACCCTCCAGGTCCTTGATGACCGCCTCGATGGCCTTGCCGTAAAGGCCTGTCCCCCCAGTGACCAAAACCTTCTTCGTCATCAAGGCAGACACTGCGAGCGTCGTAAAGTTCCTGCCTCTGCTGAACTCGGGGCCACACGGCTACGGAGCAGTGGCGAAAGGGAGGGGGAAAGGGGGAAGAGAAAAGAAAGAAGGAAAGGCAAACCCCCGTCCTCTTCCGCAATCCCCCACTTCCACCCTTTTCAAGTATTACTATTGAGCGAAACCCTGCGACCCCCCCCCTTAACTGAGACCCCCCCCGATCCCTGGTCCCAAGAGTCCGGGAGCCTTCAACCTGGACTTCCGGGCCTTTGAGGATCCCTGCCCCGTGCACACGGCCCATCAGCGGTCTAGAGACCCCCAGAACGATCCAAGAGGGCCCCGAGACGTTCCAGGAGCGTCCGAGCGTCCAAAGACGCCCCAGGAGGCCTTCAAAAAGACTACCCAAAAGCAAACATCGTACCATTCCCTCGTGAGAACCTTCTGCTTCTGCATGCACGCTTTGTTTTAGCGAAGCGTCCAAGACCGAGAGAGCGAAAAAAAACTAGCCAAATAAAATAAAAGATATAAAATTAAAAAAAATAAAGAAAAGAACAAGAAAACAAAAGCGTCCAACGCTCAAGACCGCCCAAGAGGTCGCCGACACGGCCCCAAGACGGCCCAAGAGGCCTCCAAGAGCGCCCCCAGACGGCCCAACAACCCAAGAGGCCCCCAAAAGACTCCCCTAGAAAGGCCCAATAGGGCCACGGAAGGTTTCCAAGAAGGCCCAAGATGTCCCCAGGACGGCTTCCAGACGGCCCTCGCCCCCCAAGACGGCCCAGGACGCCCCCAGGACGACCCCAAGACAGTCCAAAAAGCTTCCTAAGAGGACCTCAAAGGCGGCCTCGAGAGGCCTTTCATTGACGGCCCAGCACGCCCCAAAGATCGCCCCAAGACGGCCCATAGGCCTTCACGAGAGCCCCACCGACGACCCAAGAAGGCATCCAGACGGCCTAAGACCTCTGCGACTTCCGAAGACCTCCTCCCGGGGATGGCTATCTTCATCCCGACAGAGGACGACAAAGGATTAATGTTCGAGGCTCGACGATCGAGTTTATCCGACCGTGTTCCGTCCTTTCGGAGCCTCCGGTTTTCTCCTCGTCGCATGGCAGAGTCCGCCTCGAAATCCAGATCCAACGCAACCCAAGTATATTCCGGGGAGCCAGCTTCAGTTCAGGGTCACGGCGGATGGCGCCAAGAGCCACATTGCAGGAAGCTCGAAGGACAAAAGAAAATGGCGCGAAGCACCAATGCAATCTTGGATTTACAACAACATGTTTTCCGTCGGCGGCGAGGCAGAGGCGGTCCGCTCCAGCGTGTGGCGATTCGGAGCAGCCGAACGGCGAATCCGATCATACTACGAAAAGAAAAAGAAAACAAAATGACTACGTAATAGTATCATGGTAATCTCAGGGTAACCAGAATTAGAATATCAGAAGGAAACAACAATAGTAACCCTGTGCTGCCGAGATTAATCCCACAGGGATAATAAAGTTCGGGGTCGGGGGGGATTATAAATGTTGCCACCCGGAGGCCAGCACGTGGGAGGAGAAAGAGATGATGTTAAGAGGACCGAAAGCCGAGGATCGAGGATCGAGAATCGAAGTCCGAGGATCGAGGATCGAGATCCCAGAGTCGAGGATCGAGGTCCGAGGATCGACGGCGGCGAGGCCCGAGGATCGAGGATCGAGGTCCGAGGGTCGAAGATCGAGGCCCGAGAAAGCGTGCTTGTTTCGCTTGAGACATCCTCGACAACGTCTTCGCTTCGTTTGATGTTGCTATCTCAACATAAAAAGGAAGTTAACCTCGATGGTGAACTTTTCACAGTGATAAGAAACTTCGGCCTCCGCGCCCCGCGCCCCTGACCAAACTCGCATTGGCCGTGGATAATCAACTCAAACCTGGGAAGGGGAGGCCCTTTTTTATCATCGGCACAAGGTTACTGCTGTTAATGATAATGAGGCAAAAAAGAAAATTATAATAATCCGCCGACCCTGTCGGCGTGTGAAGGACGCTCTTCCGTTCGTCGTCTTCGTCTTCGAGGGGCCCGAATCGCCGAACGATCGGTCCAACCGTTGCCGCCCCTTTCCTTTCCCTGGGCCCTCCCTGAGCTATCCTCCTCTAGCGCGCCAGTCACACCGAAATTGAATAACGTCGTAGTTGAGTCGAAAGGAAGCCCCTTGGCTTGATCCCTTCCCCGCCAGGAGGGGGGGGGTCCCGGGTCTGTGGGGGGGGGTCCCGACCCAGAATACCATCCCCCCTGGCGATCCCTCCCTGGGCTCTCCTCCTCCAGCGCGCCCTTTCCTTTCCCTGGGCCCTCTCTGGGCTCTCCTCCTCAAGCGCGCCAATCACAACGAAATTGAACAACGCCGTAGTTGAATCGAAGGGAAGCCCCTTCCCTTTGATCCCTTCCCCGCCGGGAGGGGGGGGTGGGAGCTCCTATGGAGCCACGAAACATGCGAGGGGTATGCCGCAATGGGACGGGGCCGCCATGCGAACCCTGCCACTGGGGCTTTCGGTGGACCTCCTATGGAGCCACGAAACGTGTCAGGGATGTGCCGCAATGGAGCGGGCCGCCATGCGAACCCTGCCACAATGGCCTTCAGTGGAGCTACTATGAGGCCACGAAACGTGTCAGGGATGTGCCGAACAGAAGCGAGGCCCACCATGCGAACCCTGCCACAGGGGCCTTCGGTGGAGCTCCCTGGGGCCACGAAACGTGTGAGAGGTGTGCCCAAATGGGGCGGGGCCCGCCATGCAAACCCTGCCACTGGGGCCTGCGGTGAAGCTCCCTATGACGAGACGAAACGTGTGAGGCGTGTGCCGCAATGGGGCGGAGCCGTCATGCGAACACTGCCACTGGGGCCTTCGGTGGAGCTCTTATGGGGCCACGAAATGTGTGATGATGAGGAGGAGGAGAGGGAAGAAGAGAAGGAGGAGGAGGATGATGATGATGGTCATGGTCATGGTCATGGTCATGGTGATGGTGATGGTGATGGTGATGGTGATGGTGATGGTGATGGTGATGAAGATGGTGATGAAGATGGTGATGGTGATGGTGATGGTGATGGTGATGGTGATGGTGATGGTGATTGTGGTGATGGTGATGGTGATGGTGATGAGGATGAGGATGAGGATGAGGATCATGATGAGGATGAGGATGAGGATGATGAGGAGGATCCGGATGAGGATGAGGATGAGGATGAAAATGAAGATGGGGATGATAATGATAATGATGATGGTGATGATGATGGTGGTGATGATGGTGATGCTGATGATGATGGTGATGATGATGCTGAGGATAATGATGATGATGATGATGATGATGGTGATGGCGATGATGATGGTAATGATGATGCTGATGATGGTGGTGATGATGACGATGATGACGATGGAGGGAATGGTGAGTATGATGAACATGATGAAGATACTACTGATGTTGATGATGGTGCTGCTGATGATGATCAGTGGTGATGATGATGGTAGGTGGTGATGGTGGCGGTGATGATGATGGTAATGACAGTGGTGAGGATGATAATGATGATGATGAGGATGATGGTGACGGAGAATGTTGATGGTGGTGATGATGGAAGTACTGATGATGGTGGTGGTGATGATGACGCTGCTGCTGTTGCTGCTGATGATGCAGACGCTGATACTGTAATTGTTTATGATGATGACGATGACGGTGATGATGATGGTGATTATGATGATACTGCTCATGCTGCTGATAATGGTCATGATGATGATGACGGTGACGGTGATGATGATGATGTTGATGATGCGGCTGATGCTGATGCTGATGATGACGATGATGACGATGATGATGATGTTGAGGAAGAGGAGGATGATGATGATGATAATGATGATGATGATGATGATGATGATGACGATGATGATGAGTAACGGAAGAGGGGAAGGAGGAGAGGAGAGGAACGCAGGACACTGTCTCTTCAAAACGGAGACCCAACACCACAGGGTGGTTGAGAACAAACACACTCTACTCTAACTTCTACTCTACTCTAATCTACTCCACTCTTCCGCACTCGACCCTGCTCTACTCAACCCTACCTCACACTACCCGGACCTCCTCTACTCTTAAATACTTCACTGCTGTTATCGACTCTACTCCTACTCTACTCTATTATGCTCTGCTCTACTTCTATACTCCCCTCTACTCTACTCGACTCTTCTCTGCTCTACTTACTTACTCTACTCTATTAGATTATTATCTACTCTATCTGCTTCTGAGTTTGACGATTATTTTACGATTGTTGAGACGCCATTGGAACAGCCATTGGAAACACTATTGCAATAGCAGCGGGAACCAGTGCAATAGCCGAGGAAGACAATGCAGTAGCAGAGGAAGCCATTCCAATAGCAGACGAAATCATTGCCATAAAAACGGGGGATACACGTGACCAGCTCCCTACGCACGGAGTAAGACTCTTGCAGGCAAGAATACTTGCAGAAAACCGCTTCCACAAAATCCTACCACCACACTGGGTGAAGCTGTTCAGAGGGTATTTTCATCCGACCCCGCTCTTCCCAGTTGGGAAGGGCTTACCCCCTGGGGTATGGACCGTGGTTCCCCGAAAGGGTGGGGCGTCCAAGATGACCCTAAATTGTTCCGATATTGTTCCAGGTCGCCCAGAGTGGCCTTCAATATGGCAGCATTGCCCAAGTTCGAGCAAGGTGGCATCCAACATGTCAACACGAGGCGGTGACCATAGCCGCACCGTTCTTCCACTTAGCTTGACGACCCTTCCACCACTTAGCACTCATGCTTGGACATTCCACTGACCTGCGAACTGATTTTCAAATTCCAAGACGGTACCATTATCTGCCTTGGTGTCCGAGCCAGTGGTCGCAATGATGGTAGCGGCAGCACTCGTAGTCACGGTGGGCGTTTGCACTGGTGACGCAGGCAGTGACACTGCTGATGGTCGCGGGTGACAATAGGACGTGGCGGAAATACTCCTGGCTATAAACGTGGCAGCGGCACCTGTACAGCAGCAACCCCCCCGGGGGCCGCCGCAGCCCCCACTCTCGTCGAGGCGCCGCCCACAGACCGTCGGGGCGCCGCCGCGGGCCCGGGCCCGGGCCTCGAACACGCCGGAGCTGATCGTGCCGGACAGCACCCGGGAGGCGCTGGGGTTGGGGTTGTGCTGTGTCCACACCTCTCGTGGGCAGGGGGGATGGACTGAGGAGGGGTGGAGCAATTGAGCTGAACGGAAGGGACTGGACAGGATGGTACGGACAGGCGTGGACTGGAACGGAATGGAACGGCACGAGTGGCAGGGAGTGGTCGACGACGACAACAACGACGACGATGGGAGCCTCGAGGAGGAAGATGGGTCGAGGAGGATGCTCGTTCCCCAAACAATGCTCGAACTATGAGGCTCTTACTTGCGTTGCCAAAACAACTGGATGAGTCTGCTAGCTGTTCGCATGGTGACTGGCTGGTGACGCCCGTGTGCGCCTCGTGGGTGCCCGTGTGGAGGGTTTCTCCGAAGGGCTTAGGCGACCCGTCCTCCTCCTCCTCCTCCTCCTCCTCCTCCTCCCCCTCCTCCTCCTCCTCCTCCTCCTCCTCCTCCTCCTCCTCCTCCTCCTCCCAAAAGCTGTAGTGGACTTGTCGAGGCTTCGCCCGGTGGCCGCCCGTGGACCCCCGTGGGCGCCGCATGGGCGCCGCGTGGGCGCCTCGTTCTCTGGGTCGGTCCGCCAGGGCTTCACCCCAGTGGCCGCCCGTGGGCGCCGCGCGTGGGAGCCCCGCGGGAGCCCCCTTGCGCTGGGTACCTACCAGGCCACCGCAACCTGACCCGAAGGCCCGAACTTCGGGTTGGGGGGTGGGGTGCGGGTTCCACACGTTTTTCGGGGGGGATGTTCCCCGCCCCCCACCACTGGAAATGAATGGCAAATGAAGACCTTCGGGCTGGGTTAGGGGTGGTTTGATGGGCGGCGAGCGTTGGGTACACCAGCTAGCCTCGGAAGCTGGGCGAGGGCTGGCAAGCCCGTGGCTGCCAAAACGGTCTTCCTGGAAGAAGAAACAGATTCCCAAGAGCAAAACTCGGCGCACTAAATAGGCGGGCTGCTTCCCGGAAGAGAATACAATTTCCCAGAGCTCCGTGTTAGCAGCCACGGGTTTGCCAGCCTTCGCCTGGTTTCTCATAGCTTGCACCAGAAGGATTGCATCGCATAGCTTGCACCACGTGGCTTGCAACGCATAGCTGGCACCACAATACTTTCCCGCCCACGCACACACACACACGCACTTTCACACACACACACACACGCACACACACACACACGCACACACACACACACACACACACGCACACACCCACACACACACACACACACACGCACGCACGCACGACAAACATATATACACACACGCACAGACACACACACACACACACACACTCACACACACACACACACGCACACACACACACACACACACGCACGCACATACATACACACGCACGCACATACATACACACACACACGCACACACGCACACACGCACAGGCACACACAAGCTGCATCACATAGCTCACACCACATGCATCACATATACTGCAGTGCACCACGCACCATGCTCAGTGAACCGCATATCCAACCTCCTCCACATGGATTGCACCACATGGATCGCGGCACACATGTTTCCCTTTCATCACACAACAAAAAAACATACAGAACCTGGACTTGTCGATACCCCCTGGAGCACTGCAAGTGAATTACGATGATGTTTCATCGTTCACTGCCCGTGTGAAGGCATACCACCCCATCCAGGCCGGTATCCCTCATTCCAAGGCTGAACCAAAAGGGTGTTTTTCGCTTTCGTTTGGTTTTCGTGTTCCCTCGTTTTGTCTTCAATCCACCTCTACCGCAAGACGAGGTCGAAACGAAAACTGCCCACGAAATCGCCAAAACATTATTAAGTCCAGCCCTGCCTCATTCGATCCTCTACGCGTGCACACTCCTCTTTTCAAGAGATCCGCCAGCGTGCCCTCGGGCCCGAGTTGGAGCGTCCTCGGGTCCCCTGCTCAAGATCCCCTGGGGCCAGGGTCCTCACTCCCTGACGATGATTTTGGGGGCTCGAGTCCCAAATGCGCAAGTCGCCTGGGACTTGGCGCGTACCTCCTGGGGCTCGTCGCGTCCTCTCGCGTGAACTTGAGCCCAAGGGGGCCCCAAGACGAGCCAAGGGGGCCCCAAGAGGCCGCCCAGTCGTTCCAAGAGGGCCCCGAATCGCCGAACAGTCGGTCAAAGGCGCCCGCGATGGCCTCCAGCCCGGCCCCAAAGCCCCCGAGAGGCTCCAAGAGAGCCCCAAGAGGCGCCCCAAGACCCCAAGATGGCTCTGAGAGGCAAAAACACGTATTGTCCTTCAGTTCTTCCATGCTTTGGGAGTTCTTGCCTTTGGCCCACGAGGCTCCCGAGCCCGCCACGAAACGGCCCAGGAGGCCTCCACGGGAGCACCTAGAGGCGCCCAAGACGGCCACAAGACGGCCCAAGAGGCGCCCAAGACGGCCCAAGAGGGCCCCAAGGCGGCCCCGAGAAGGTCTCCCCCCCAAACGTATCGAACCTGGGGCACTGCAAACTACATATGATTCTGCTTCGTCGTTCACTTTCCAAACGAACTCATACCACCTCAGCCCAACCGGTATCGCCCCCCCCCTTTCGTCCACGTCAAACCATACTATGCGCTCACACCCGTACATCGCAAAGATAATGTTTCTCTAAATCCGTTTGCGAAAAATGGCACGAAGCCCACGCGCACGCGCATGTCGAAAACATGCCAAACGCAGCAATTCTGCCAGAACGCCGATATTGAGATGTCAAACACCTGAGGTTGATGCACTTGCCGAAATCATGGGAAACCATTTGAGTTTAGAAACCTCGTCTGAAACCCGCATCCTGATCTCGGGGATCTTCTGACCCAGATCAATCCAAACCCGGGTCAGTCAAGCCTTGCAAAATCCTGCAAGATCCTGCAAGATCCTACACCCAAACCCGGGTCAATGCGAAAGATCCTGCAAGATCCTGCAAGATCCTGCGCCAAAACACGGGTCAATGCGACCCTGGCCCTGCAGGATCCTGCAAGATCGGGCGCTCTGGCTGACCCCCGTTTGCATTGACCCCCGTCTCAAGGCTCCCGATGATCACCCCGCACGGTGCATCCGCGCTGATCCAGCATGCGCCCAGCACACGAATCCGCTGCAGATCACACCACATGTGGGCCCCACGCGCGCACCAACCCGCAGCGCGCGCGCGTCGAAAAATCGTCCCAAAACCATGGGAGTCCGAGGCATCTCATGACAGAGCTGTTTTCTCCTCCTCCTCCTCCTCCGCCTCCTCCTTCTCCTAAAATACATGTATTAAACCCAGTGATCGTTTCAACAAAAAGCCAGCAAGGTCGATTGAATCTCTGCGCGCGCACTTCCTCACCATCCCCCTCATCAGCACCGCCGCAACGCATCATCGTGATCGAAAAACGCCGCCATTGCGCCATCATCAGCACATAGACATTATCATTCCCATCGTTGTCACCAGCATCGGCGCCGTAATTGGCCAGACCGTCGTCGTCGTCGTCGTCATCATCGCCACCACCATCGCTACTATCATCAGAATCACCATCATAATCAGCATCAGCATCATCAGCATCATCATCAGCATCACCATCATCAGCATCATAATCGTCATAATCATCATCAGCATCATCATCATCAGCATCATCATCAACATCACCATCATCATAATCAGCATCATCATCATCATCATCATCAGCATCATCATCATCATCATCATCATCATCATCCTTGCCGTCGTAGCTGGCGTCATCATGAAACCACACCTGCGCGAGTTACCGACCCGCACTGAAGGAAGTGCCCGCGCGCCAGCCCAACCTTCAAGACGCGTTGGGAAGTTCGCATCAATAAGCGCCATCGTGGTCGCAGCAGTTGTATGAAATCATATGGTCGCCCTGCGCGCGTGCGCGCCGACGCCAGCGTCGTCTTGCATTTCCACGCGCGCGCACTTTCTAACCGTCACCTTTATCAAGGCCACAGCATCACGGCCGTCATTTCCGCCATCATCGGTCAAAGACCCTTATCATCGACGCATGGACATCACACGGTCACCGTCGTCACCGGCATCGGCGCCGCCATTGGCCTGACCGTCGCCATTGTCAACATTCGCCACATCGCCTTTTTCACTGACGCATGGAAATCATCATGGTCATCGTCGTCACTGGCATCGACACCGACATTGGCACTGCCGTCGCCATCGTAACTATCACCATCGTTGCCGCCGTTGCCGGCGCAATCATGATAAAGCGCCTGTCCAGACCAACGACTCGCACTGAAGAGCCCGCGTCGGTTGTGTCAAACCAGCTGATCGCTCTGCGCGCCAGCTCGCGCGCGCTAGCGCAGCCGCAAAGATGCGCCAGACAGTGCCCAGAAATCACCGCCATCGCGGCCGCATGGGTTCTGCAAAATAAGTTGTGGGTGGGAGGGTGGGATGATTGCGCGAACAGTGGAGTTGACGACCTGAAGTTCTGCAAGATGGATTGCACAGCATAGCTTGCACCACACATACTGCGCCACCTATGTTGCACCACACAAGTCTGCACAACATGTAACACAGACACGCACACTGTTTGGCGAACACGGCCCCGCGCGCAGCGACGAGGCACAGTAAGTCAAGCACAGCGAACGGGGTCCCTCGCCTGCCAGCCTCAGGACAGGGCCGCAGTCGCACACACACACACACACACACACACACACACACACACACACACACACACACGCGCGCGCGCGCGCGCACGCACGCACGCACGCACGCACGCACGCACACACACACACACACACACACACACACACACACACACACACACACGCACACACACACACACACACACACCGACACACATCCCGAGAGCCATAACGCACTCTTTAGAATCCACGCTGGCGAACTCATGATGCTTCGTGTTCGCTTGGGGGGTCAAGGAGGGTCTCAGGATCCTAGGGGTCCTGAGGGTTCTGCTGCGTCCACCACGCCACCCTTAGGTGGCATATGATGGGAGCTTCGTTTGTCGAACTTAGCGTTGCCTGCGCCCCACACTAGTGCAATTTAGCGCAATTGAGTGGCGTTTAGTGTGGCGCGGCGGGAGGCGCTAGTGCAACTCAGTGCAATTTAGTGCAATTTAGTGCAATTTAGTGGCGTGTAATGCAATTTAGTGGCGTTCAGTGCAATTTAGTGCAATTCAGTGCAATGTAATGCAAGTTTGTGGCGTTCGGTGCGCCCCACACTAGTGCAATTCAGCGCAATTTAGTGGCGTTTAGTGTGGCGCGGCGGGAGACGTTAGTGCAATTTAAAACAATTTAGTGTAATTTAGTGGCGTCTAGTGCAATTTCGTGGCGTTTAGTGCAATTGAGCGCAATCTAGTGCAATTTAGTGCAAGTTAGTGGCGTTTAGTGCGCCCCACACTAGTGCAATTTAGTGCAATTTAGTTGCGTTTAGTACAATTTAATGCAATTTAGTTCGCCTGCGGGAGGGACAGGAAGAAAGGAATTTGGAAAAAGGTTGCGGTCGATCTTAAGAATCTGACATTGCTCGCACAACTGCGATGCCGCGCGCGCGCACCGACCGGCGTGCACGAGCAACGCTACGCAACACTAAACAACACTAGTACACACTAAACGATCACGAAGCAGGAAGCAAGACACCATTGGGTGAAAAAGAAAGGTCCCATCATTTGCCACCTAACCACTCTGAAGGTAAAAACACGAGGACATCTTGTTGTCCTTTTCAACTGTTGTTCTAACCTCGTCTGGGGCCCAGCGGGCCGTTGCCTCCAGGAACACCCAAGTGGGCCACAACAGGGCCACCCAAAGGGCCCCGGCATGCCCCTTGAAGAAGCTGCCGAGAGGCACCCCTAAGATGCATCCCGAAAGAGATCCCGAGAGGTATCCAGCACGCTTCTCTGACCCACGACCTAGGCACGGTGGCGGGATGGGCCACTAGATGGTAAAATCGTAAATTTCGCGGGGGGCCATCAACGCTACGGATATATATATATATATGTACAGACACACACTGACACTATCCGACGAACTTTGCATGGACCTTCAAGGAGGGCGGCGGTGTATGAAATCATTGGCTCCCAGTGGTGATTGATTCACCGTCAACCTCCCCTGAGGTCCAGGAACAATCCATTGGAGGGCGTCTGTGCATACTTTTCTGTAGCGGGGTATCAGACGATCAACAAAGTTTGAAACAACCTGTCTCCATCCGCGCAGAACTTCATAAAAAATGCACCATGACCAAAAAATGCAAGACCCCCAAACGACAACTACTTGATCAAAACGATGCACCGCTCTTCCGCGTGAACCCACGAGGTTATATCGATTGCTTTCATGGAGCCCTTTCCAGACCACCCCGCCGACACATCTCGCGGCGCGACGAGAAGGGGTGGGGTGGAAGGATGGGGCGGAGGGAAGAGGGGGAGACGGAGGGAAAGAAGGGGGAAGAAGGGAAGGAGGAGAGAGAGGAGAACAAAGGGAGAATAGGAGAAGGAGGGAGAAAGAGGGGTTTCAGGAGGACCGAAATGGTTACGGAAAGAATGGGGTGTCGCCGCGGCCTGTGTACATTTGAAACAGAAGGCCGCCTGCCCAACAGCTGCCGCTGCTGGTTTGGAACAACATTTGCTGTTGGGCATTGTTCCCAGTCTTTCCGTACCCATTTCGGGCGTCCAAAGGGTTGGCTGGGAGATTCCACGCTGACGCTGGCTGGTCGGCTGGAAAGCCGAATGACCCTGGAAAAGACTGACGCCTGCATCAAGCTGCACGGAAACGAAACGGAGAGCGGAAGGGGGAAGAGGACGATGAGGAGGGACACGGAGGAGGATGGAAAGGATGAGGCATGGAGGGAAGGGGTGACAGGGGAGGGGGGTGAGCGGAAAAGGGGAGGGGCAGGAGGAGAAAGAAGCAGGAGGAGAAGAAGAGCGGAGCAGCGGCGGCCAAACACAAACGGCTGAGAGAGCACGGGACGGGCGACCCCCGACATGAAGCTCCCCTGCAGGCTCAAGATTCCAGAGCAGATGTTCACCGCAATGGGGACGTTCGAGTGGTTGGTGATGGTCTCGTACATCACGAGTGAGTTCCCAACCTTTGTGCTGCCATGTGGACGCGCGCCACGCGTGAACCAAACAAAAAAAAACACACGTGTTCCAACCAGTGCTCACACGCGTGTCTGCGTGTGCGTGTTTGCTGGATCGGGTCGATTTGCACGCAACGCATAGGCGGTAGACGTGCGATCTCCTCACGGAAAAACGCGCGTGCTGTATCCCGTCCCGTGCTCGCGCTGCGCGTGGCGGTTCACCAATGCCCCCCTGGCGGATTGGACCCCTCGGATTCAGATCGTCAGAATCCACACACCCTCCAGGATCTCGCTACACCCGAGCATGAACTGCGCGGTCATACACTGGCGGAATTCAGGCAACGAAAAAGCACGACACTGCTGATTCTGCGGGCGCAGGTGGGTACGAGCGTGAGGGGGCTGAGAGAATCTGCGAGGTCCAGAGCAGGAAAGGGAAATCTCGGGGGAGAAGGAGGCCTTGAAGCACGGGCTTTGAAGCACTCAGGCGAGCATGCTCAGGGGGATCGTCCTCAGAATGTTTTAGGACATCGCACGGGCGTGAACGAGTAGATACACCAGTCGGAGTAGGTGGACTCGGCTGCTGTGTGCTACCCACGCCCTGACTGTGGTCGCTCCGCACGGTGTATGCATACTCTGAACTGGTGGGCCTCCTGTGCCCTAAGAGAGGGTAGCCAGCTCGCACAATGTAGGCACACTCTGTGGTACTGCCAGGCTTCCCATAACCTGAGAGAATGAATGTGGAGTGCACCGTGTGGGTTGATTATGCAGATCGGTCGGCCTAGTTACCAGTGGCCTGAGAGATAGGAGGTGCTCGGCTCGAGGATGGCATACTCTGACAGGCTGAGCGGCGGCTTAGAAAAAAAATGCGCCTGATGATCCCATTAAGCTTCCCATGCCCTGAGCAACTGTAGCCTGGGTGCGCGATGTAGGCAAGCGTTAGTGGTTGGGGCGTCCCATGCCCGTAATGATATCATGTAGAAGATGTGGCCCGCTCCACTGTGCATAGCTTTGTCGGGTCCATATCAATCGGCTCATCCCATCATGGCGTCCTCCATCTTCAGCAGCTGTGAGTGCGGGATCCGCTACATCTGTACTACATATATAAGACACACTGTGCATGTGCATGCGTGTATTAGAAGGCGTATGCATTTACCAACGTGCGCACACACACACACACACACACTCGAGTATACACACACACACTTGCTCACGACAAACGAGACTGTGTGCAATGTGCCAGGCGAGAAGGACAAGCAGGAAAAGCAGGAGCAAAAGCAAAAGCGCAGTACCCATGCCACGCAAAACCCTGACAGCGCAGCCGGCACAAGCCAGCCAACTACCGACGTGAGCCTACCGTAAGAGTTCACTCACGCATGTCTGCCATGGAACAATCAAAGCAAACAAAATGACGCCCTCTCATTTCCTCCCTCTTACACACGGGATGTCGGCCAAAAGAAACTTGCACAAGAGACCCAGACCCTGTAACCCCAAATATTTGATATGTTGAGGCTTCGGAGCCCTGGGTGGCTCTCATTGCAAAGTTCCTGGATCCAAGACCGCATAGCACCTTGGAGAAATGCAAGAGACATCTCGATGCGCATGCCCACTGCATGCCTGGCTCTCCCTCCTCCTGTACCAAATGAAGACGCGAGATCCGGACCATTTTGCCCTCCACCAAAAAGGCCGACTCGTCGTCCTCGACCTCGCCATCGCCGGCGGCACTTCCCGACGCCAGCCACGGCCGAAGGAAAGAGAGACTGAGCAAGGCCACGACTACACCAAGGACAAGGAAAGAGAGAGAGAGAGAAGAGGATAGCGAGGGGGAGGGAAGATGGGGAATAAGGGAGGGATAGGAGAAGAAAGAAGAGGAAGATAAACAGAGGTGGGAGGAGCACAGCTGGCAGAGCGGAGCGTTTGTCACAGCAGCGCTCCGCTCAACTAGAAGCACATACGTGCATATATTATATATATATATATATATATATATATATATATATAAATACATACACACACACTTAGCACCCCGCAGTTGCGGATAAGAGTCAGGGGGCGGCGAGGACGTCGTTAGTCTGCGCGGCTCTGAAGAAGCCCGCCGCAGGCGCCAATTTTTTCTTTGAAGCAATGTGGGTGGATCGAGGGGTGGGTCGCCGGTGGGTCGCGTATGGGTCGCGGGTGGGTCGCGGGCCGGGTCCCGGATGGGTCGCGGGTGGGTCGCGTGGGTCGCGGGTGGGTCGCGCGCGGGTGGGTGGGTCGCGGGTGGGTCGCGGGTGGGTCGCGGGGTGTGGGTCGCGGGTGGGTCGGGGTGGGTCGCGGGGGTGCGGTGGGTCGCGGGGGTCGCGGGGTGGGTCGCGGGGTGGGTCGCGGGTGGGTCGCGGGTGGGTCGCGGGTGGGTCGCGGGTGGGTCGCAAGTGGTTCGCGTGGTGGGTCGCGGAGTGGGTCACGGGGTGGGTCGCGGGATGGGTCGCGGGGTGGGTCGCAGGTGGGTCGCGGGCGGGTCGCGGGGGGATGACGACAACAACAACAACAACAACAACAACAACAACAACAGCAACAGCAACAGCAACAGCAACAGCAGCAGCAGCAGCAACAACAACAACTACAACAACTACAACAACAACAGCAACAACAACAACAACAACAACAATCATTAAGACCGTTCGCCCTTACATGCTCGAGTGTCGAATAACGCGTATTTCCCTAACCCTCGATACCCGCCCTCTTCGTCTTCGATCGAACCCCTTTTGGGGGGTATACCTTTCTTCCCTGCAGGCCGGACCCCGGCAAGCGGCGGGGCGGCCGCGGACCGTCGGCCTGGCCAGCGGCAGCGCTGATCGGTGGGGCGGCCGCGGACCGTCGACCCGACCCCAAGAGGGACGGACAGGGGACCGACCACGACGACGACGACGACGACGACGACGACGAAAACGACGGCGACGACGACGACGACGGCGACGACGAGCGAAAGCGAGAGCGAGAGAGAACGACAGCAGGGCCACGAAGGGCACGAAGTAGGCCACGAAGGGCGACAGCGGGGACACGAAGGGAATGCGTATGGTGCCACGAAGAGCGCGAACGAGCGGGGGCCACGAAGTGCAGATAATGCGGGGCCACAGAAGGCAACTATGGGGCCACTGAGGGTATGGGGCCACTGAGGGTAGCAACTGGGCCACGTAGGACAGTGAGGGGGACACAAATGGCGACAGCGGGGCCACGCAGGGCACGCACATGGGGCCACAACGGGCGCGACTCCTGGGTGCCTGGGTGTCGGGAGCGCGGCGCTTGAGTAAATTGCAAGACATTCCAACGCAAGGCCATTCTTCAGTTAGTTGCAAGCAAGTCTCCAGCGAGAGCGCGACTCCAGAGCGCCGGGAAAGCGATTCCTGAATCAAGTGTAAGGAAGTCCCAAGCGAGAGCGCGATTCCTGAATAGAGTGCGAGGAAGTCTCGGGCGGGAGCGGGGCTCCTGGCTAGATTGTAAGGAAGTCTCGAGCGGGAGCCGTTGTTGTTGTAACCCGGGGGCCAGGGGGCCAGTTTGAGCAGGAAGACTTTCCCTGTCAAAAAAACAGGGTGCGAGCGTCGAGGGGCATACTTTGATTTAGAAAAAACAAGAAAAAACAATATGCACCGGTGGGGGGGGGATCAACAATTATTATTCATCAGAAATGAGAATTCAACAATCATTTTTGACTGTTGGCCGTATCTGCTCGAGTGTCCAATAACGCGTATTTCCCTAACCTTCGATACCCGCCCTCCTCGTGTTCGATCGAATCCCTTTTGGGGGGTATACCTTTCTTCCCTGCAGGCCGGGCCCTGGCAAGCGGCGGGGCGGCCGCGGACCGTCGGCCTGGCCAGCGGCAGCGCTGATCGGCGGGGGGGGCGCGGACCGTCGACCTGACCCCAAGAGGGACGGACATGGGACCGACCGCGACGACGACGACGACGACGACGACGTCGACGACGGCGACGACGACGACGGCGACGACGACGACGACGAGCGAAAGCGAGAGCGATAGAGAACGACAGCAGAGCCACGAAGGACACGAAGTAGGCCACGAAGGGCGACAGCGGGGACACGAAGGGAATGCGTATGGTGCCACGTAGAGCGCGAACGAGCCGGGGCCACGAAGGGCAGATAATGCGGGGCCACAGAAGGCAACGATGGGGCCACTGAGGGTAGCAACTGGGCCACGTAGGACACTGAGGGGGCCACAGACGGCGACAGCGGGGCCACGAAGGGCATGCACATGGGGCCACAACGGGCGCGAACGAGCGGGGGCCACGAAAGGCATTTGTATATTGGGCCGCGGAAGGCAAGGACGGGGCCACTGAGGGCAGCAACGGGGCCATGAAGGGCAGCGAGGGGGCCACGCAAGGCGACAGCGGGGCCACGAAGGGCATGCATATGGGGCCACCACGGGCGCGAACGAGCGGGGGCCACGAAGGGCATACATATATGGGGCCACGAAGGGCAGCGAGGGGGCCACGAAGGGCTGCAATGGGGCCACGAAGGGCAGCGAGGGGGCCACGAAGGGCTGCAACGGGACCACGAAGGGCTGCAACGGGGCCACGAAGGGTAGCGAGGGGGCCACGAAGGGCTGCAACGGGGCCACGAAACAAAGCGAGGGGGCCACGAAGGGCTGCAACGGGGCCACGACGGGCAGCGAGGAGGCCACGAGGAGCTGCAACGGGGCCACAAAGGGCAGCGAGGGGGCCACGAAGGGCTGCAACGGGGCCACGAAACAAAGCGAGGGGACCACGAAGGGCTGCAACGGGGCCACGAAGGGCAGCGAGATCCCGATTCCTAGGTAATCTGTGAGGGAGTCCGAAGCGTGAGCGCGACTCCTGGGTGCCTGGGTGTCGGGAGCGCGGCGCTTGAGTAAATTGCAAGACATTCCAACGCAAGGGCGCTATTCTTCAGTAATTGCAAGCAAGTCTCCAGCGAGAGCGCGACTCCAGACTGCCGGGAGAGCGATTCCTGAGTAAGTTGTAAGAAGTCCCAAGCGAGAGCGCGATTCCTGAATTAAATGCGAGGAAGTCTCGGGCGGGAGCGGGGGTCCTGGCTAAATTGTAAGGAAATCTCAGGCGGGAGCCGTTGTTGTTGTAACCAGGGGGCCAGGGGCGCAGTTTGAGCATCAAGATTTCTCCTGTCAAAAAACAAGGTGCGAGCGTCGAGGGGTACACATTGATTAAGAAAAACAGTTTGCACCGGTGAGGGAGGATCAACGATAATTATTCTTCAGAAATGAGAATTCAACAAGCAGAATCCCCACCACGGATCCCCAGTTCAGCCACGCACCCAGGGACAATGAATGACCGCTCGGCCCGCTCACTCTGATACATATATATATGTATGCATACATACATACATGCATGCATGCATGCATGCATGCATGCATGCATACATACATACATACATACTAGAACCGTCGCGCGCGCTTCGCGCGCGCTCAAGTTCTAGCTAGGCTCGAAAGGCTAACGCATGGAATATCAATTGTTGAAGAGCCTGTGTGCATCTAACGACCTTCTTAGAGTCCCTGCCAAAGCCCCAGAAGCGTACAAAGAGGAAATGCTGAAACCAAATATATATATATATATATATATACATCTTTCAGGTGTTCGATGATTTGGGGCCCTCGAAGGCTTCCTGGAATCTTTCTTCGGTGGTGACGGGGGCCTTCATTATGGTCTGGTGTGCAAAATACGCAGGGGTAAGCGTTTGTCATCCTATGAATGATACGAAGAAGAAGAACACGAATAATACTACGAGCCCTAAGAAGAAAAATCATGGAATGTCCTTGTTCTTCAAAAAGTCATGCCTAGGCCGTGGGTCAGAAGACTTCCTGGATAAAGGCCGTGGACTGTTGGGACGCCTCTGGGGGCCTTTTGGCGGCTTCTTGGGAGTCTTTCGGGGCCTCTTGGGAAGCTCTTGGTGCCTCCTGGGAGCCTCCCGGGATTCTCTAAAGGCATCTGGGGGGGCGGCTCGAGAGCCTGTGCGAGAACCTTGGAGCCATCTTGAGGCAAAGCGCTCGAAAGGCTTGGGCAGGTCCTCTCTTATGGCTCTTTCTTGGCGCGCGCGCTGACATTCTAACTAGGCTGGACAGGTGAACTCAGGGGACCTCGATGTTTACGGCGGTTTCAGAGGCAGCCACAAGGAAGCGAAGACGACCCAAGAGAGTGCCAAGACAGCGTCAAAGAGTTCAACAGCATTCCCAAACATCTGTGCAATGCGACCCAAAAATCTTGATGGGGTTCGGGATGAACTTGAACGAAAAGAGGATCACTGGATGTCCTCCTGCTTTCTCAAGCGGGGCCTCCTGACATGTAGTGCGCAGGAGTCGGGGGGGGGCCCAAGACCCAAGAGGCGTGCAGGGAACTCTTGGGAGGCAGTTTGGAGGCCGCTGAGGGGCTGTTTTCGGGCCTCTTGGGGAAACTTTGGAGCTTCTTCGCGGCAAAGGTGGTGGCCATCTTGGAGTGCGCCACATTGGCGGCGGGGTTGCCGTGCGCTCGACGCGGCGGGGGCTCTCCTGCGCCACGCTGGCGAGGGGAGGCGGTCCTCGCGCAGGCGCGGGCTTGGATGCAGGATGGTGCAGAGGCCAAGCTCACGACCTCGGAGCTGGAGCTGACCGAGTGCGACAGGGAGCTCATGGGCCGTCCTGCTGGTGGCCCGCATGCGGTCTGGCTGGAGCCCGACGCGGAGGCGGACGCGGCCTGGCTCGCGACGCAGGCGTCTATCCGCAGGCTCGCCGAGGTGGAGTGCTACCACCTCGGCGCGGACGACGGCGTCGAGGCCGAGGGCGTGGAGCTGCCGCGGTCGGCATGTCGGTGCTCGTGGGGGTGCAGGCCGAGGCCGTGACAGGCAGGGCCGAGAGGCAGCACACGGAGGAGGGCAGCTCCCAGCGCCAGGCCACGGAGGTCGGTGACGGGAGCAGCACTGAGGGCAGCGACGGTGGCGCCCAGTCTGACGCCCTCCCAGCGGTGGAGCCTTTTTCCGACGCTGTGGTTGGCAGCTGGCGGGGTCCAGGAGCACCAGGAGGTCATCGATATAACCGAGGTCGTGATGCTCCGAGGCCGATGGCATGGCCGAGGCCATCGAGGCGAGCCCCCGCGTGGATGCCTACCGGGCCGAGGCCGACGACGAGGTTTTCAACTTTGACGGCAAGGAGGACAGCGCGGAGCCGCGGGCCGTGCGGTCAGGGTGGGCCGACTCCGTCGACGGCGTCGTGCACCTGGCGGTGGAGGCCACCGAGGTGCCGAAGGTGGCGGAGGCGGACGAGGGCGGCGAGTGGGAAGCTGTCTGCGCAGCCAACCGTGAGGCGCACACGCGGGCGGCTGAGGCGCAGGCGCGCCGCTGGGCCCAGTGGCGGCTCGAGCACGACAGCCTGGGCGGCGAGATCGTGCCGCCCGTGCCCGAGTTGGGGCTCGACGAGCCCGAGGGCGTGAGTGAGCGCCGACAGAGGAAGGCGAAGCGGGCGAGGCGCAGAGGGCTTGGAGGGCGAGGCGCCCCCCGAGGCGACGCTGCAGCAGCAGGTCGAGGCCCCAGACGCCGCGCGCAAGAACATCGAGGTCTGCGAGACGGGGCGGAGGATACCACCCGTGCACGGACGTGCACGTCCAGGCGGGGCGGGAGTGGTACGACCGCGAGATCGCCGCGCACGAGGCCGCGGCCGACGCAAGCCAGGAGGGCGCTCGAGGAGGCTGGCCACGGTGGTGCGATCTGATTGTGAGCAGTCGGTCTGCAGTGCCTGGGCCTGAGGGCCTCTGTGCAGTCGTGCGGCACGACTTCCGCGTTGCAGTCTGTATTATTATCGAGATGAGAATATGTGCGCTGCCGCGCGATTTTGGCGTCCCCGAGGGGGTGCGCCAGCACGTCGGGGGCTGCGGCACGGCGTGGGGGGCGCGTGGTGGAACCCACCCGCGCCTTCAAGAGAGCAAAAAAAGCCTCTTCAAGCCCTTTGGGAGGCTCTTGGGGGCTCCTGGGGGCCTCTTGGAGCGGAAATCTAGGATTGTCGAGTTGCGTTCCTCTTGTTGGGCGGCTTTTCGGGCCATCTCGAGGATCTCTTGGGCTGCCTCGGGGCGCTCTTGGGCCGTCTTGGGGCCTTCTGGCCCATCTTGAAGTCATCTTGGGGGCTCTTGGGCGGTCTTGGGGCGGTCTTGGGGCGGTCTTGGGGGCCTTTTCGGCCGCCTAGGAGTCTTGGAAGCTCGAGAACGGAAAACATCAAACAAACCAGTGAAATTCAACGATGTTGGCCTCTTCGGGTGCTCCCAGGATGCCTCTCGGAGCTTTCTTGGGGCCTCTTGGAGGCCTCCTGGGAGCCTGGAGAGCCGTCGAAGTCTGTCTTGGGCTGCTTGGGAGCGTTTTGGGCCGGCCGTCCTTTCGCGTTCTGGGGGCGAGGTGTGGGACGCTCGTGGGGGGAGGCGTACTTGTTCATATTATACGCACACTCTAAGACCACGCGCGCGCTTCGCGCGCGCTTAGCTTCTAGCACGCCCCAGCCCTTGACGAGCTGACGCGCCAAGTTCTTGGGGGACATCTCGAGGGCCTTGCGGGCGCTATCGGAAGGTTCTAAGGGTTCCTTAATTCCAAGGCCTTGTGTCGGGGATCTCGCTGTATCTGTGCGACCGCGGATACGTTCCGCCCGACGGACCCGCGAAAAAACGTCCCGTATCCGCGGGGTCGCGGCCCAGGGGCCAGGCCCACGGAACCACCGATACAGATCTGTGTGCTTCGCTCACGAGGGGTGCGGGGGGGGGAGGACTGAGCCGGCGGACGCAGCGCAGAAACGCACAAGGACGGCGGTCTTGAACCCCGCGCCTGCGGCCGTCGGGGGCGGCCAAGAGGGGGGCGTCCAAGAGCGCGGGGGGGGCCGCAAATCATGGTCGGCGGCACGTGCGCGGCCCAGGGGAGGGGGGGGGGCCGGGGACGCACTGAAACACGAAGAGGCGCCATGGAATCTGGGGAGACAGCGTGGCCCCCGCGGTGCTATCCACCCCCCCCCCTGGCCACCTGGCCGTCGCTCCCCTCGTGGCCGCCCCCGAGACTGGCCACGCGCCAAGCGCGGGGGGAGGCCGGGCCGGCGCCTCGCCCTCGAAGCTGCTCTCGATGGGCGACGTGCGCTCCCGCTCCGTGAAGAACTGGACGTAGCCGTAGGCGTTCTCCACCTCCCCGGGCGGCGCGCACGCGGCCCCCCCGAAGGGGAGGGCGCCACGGGGGTGCACGCCAGCACTGGCCCTGGCCAGGCCGATCCTGTCAGGGGCGCGCAAGCATGGATTAGCGATGCATGGATTTGGCGCGCGGTCACCTAATCCACGGATCGGGAGAAGTGCCCTCCCCACAATGCGGCCAGTGCCGCCTCGCACGGCGGCGGCAATCCGCGATTTCCCAAGGAAACGGGACCCGTCGCTAATCCACGCCCCCTTAATCCATAATTGCGATCGCCTGATCCTGGCCAAGCGTACAGTTGGGTCGGGCATGTCCCCCTCCAGGGGGATTCGAGGCGAAAAAATTCAACATAGTCAAAAAATACTCCCAAATGGTAAAAAATAGTCCGAAAATCGTCCCCGGACTATCTTTCTACTATGTCTGAATCTTCCTCCTGTAGAGGGACGTGCCCGACTTACGCGTACAGTCGGCCCGTGTCGTGAGGATGCGCGACGAAGGTGCAAAGGCCACGGGCGCCCACTTCGAGGCGGCTCGAGCGGGGCGCGGCCAACGAAAGCGGCCAAGGATGGGCCGAGGAGGCAGGGATGCGAGGGTACCCTCCCTGGGCACGTGATTTCTTGGCGCAGCTCTCTGCTTGCTAGGACGGTCTCAGATTAGAAGCCGCAGGGTGGGCCCAGAGCTTATTTCTTGGCACCTCTCTGAGAGCTGAGAGGGTTTCGGACTAGAAGCTGGCAGCACAAGGTAGCTTCGGAGCTCTTCCCAGCTTTCCAGCAGAACACCTCGCTGCCAGCTGCTTGAACTCGTAGCGTGTCCCGGCAGCCCTTCTCTAACTGTCTCCCAGCACGTGTAACCGGAAGCTTTCCTGAAACTCCTTCGGCAGCGTCCGCCAAGAGCTTCCGGAGCTCCCTCGAGTGGCACACTAGTTCGATCAACCCCACCCAAAAGTGACGGCCCCTGGGGAGGGATGGCCGCGTGAGGAGCGAGGGGGAGGAGAAGGAGGAGGAGACGAAGGAGGAGGAAGAAGAGGAGACGGAGGAGGACGAGGAGGAGGAGCAGACGGAAGAGGAGGAGGGGGAGGGAAGGAGAGGAAGAGGAGGAGGAAGAAGCAGAGTTCCCTCCTCTCTTATCCATCCCTCCCCCCCGACGCACTCATTCCGTAGAGGGCCCACAAGCCAGAACATCGGAAACCCGCGCGGCTCTCGCGGGTTGGCGCTGGAGCCCCCCCGGCAGCGCTTGCGGCGCCGCCGCATGGCACGCCTCGCGCGCCACGGGGGGGAGATCCAGCGCCGCCCCCAGGCATCCGTGCGGACCGCCGAAAGTTTATGCGCATGCCGCTGGTGCTGTTCAGCTCCCTCATCACAACGCCCTCCTCCTCACCCTCCTTCCCCCAAAACTCTCCCCCTTCCTCCTCCTGGGAACCTTCGACAATACACCACCACAACCTTCGTCGCCCCACTTCTCTTCCGGCCTCTCCTTCCTGTCCTTTTTGTTCTGGGCAAGGGGGGGGTGAGGGAGGCGGTGGTGGTGTATAGTGTGGGGCCCTTGAAAACCCCTCCCATCACCCACCTTCGGGGATCGGACATGCTGTCGGGCGCGGGGGATCGTCGAGGCTCGGAGCACCCGCATGCCTCGGCCATGACTCGAGGACGACACAACGGAAGAGGGGCATACAAACAGGGGGCGGAGCACGCCCGGGGGGAGGTCGCAGGAGGATGAAGCGGGGGGAGGAGGAGGAGCAAGAGAAGCTGGATGATGAGGAGGATGAGGAAAAGGAGGAGGAGGAGGACTTGTGACGCGAGCGTAGCAGCAGCAGCAGCAACAGCAGCAGGAGATGCACGAGGACAAGAAGGAGGCTTTGAGGAGCCCTGGGGAGGGCCGACGGAATCCTCCCCGCGCGGTTGGTGATATTGGGGGCGACCGAAATGGGAATTTAAAAGGAAGGCCCTTTGGGGCCGTCTTCTTCACCACCCGTCCCGGCCACCCCCCATTCTCCTCTGTTCTGTTCCGCAGCTCAAGAAACCAAATTTGAGCTGTTTGTACAGTTGCAAGATGCTCATCAAGGGCAATGGGCTTCTGCTCCGAAAACTAAGCACGTCGTGTCTATAAACGCCCCTGCTGCCACTAATGGCTCATTCGTCCACGTTCCCGCTTGGATACCCCGCTGGCCGATCATCCAGGCAGATGCTGCACAGCAGCCGTCTCGAAGGCCGCCGTCGATCTCAATCACCAAGTTCGCACTTTCGACCGGCACACTCGCGCGAAACCGTTGCTCCCAAGATCTCCGGATGCCCATCGTCAGGTCAGCGAGGCCGTCTACAACCTTGTTGTGCTGTTGCGGCCACCATTGCACTGGGTCGTCAAACGCTCGTGGCGAGGCCCATCCCAAGCCCATATGGTGCACGATTCGCCCGAGGATCCGGGATAGCAATGGCTCGAAGTGTTCATCCCGGAGGCGAGCACGACCGAAAATCAGCTGTTGGAGCAACTTGGAATCTGTCACGTATGCGAAGTGTCTGCTGGGCGATGACCATATCATCTCGCGCGCTTTTTGTCCATGAGATCGTCGGCGTTGGGTTCCGAACTACGAAATCGCAGTCGTTCCTTCCCATCTCCTGAAGGCCCTCCGGACACATACGACGAGCAGGATGATGGGGAACCGGGGAACCACATGTCCAGCGCCATCTCTCGCAGGCACTGGTCATAAAACAGGTCGTCTGCTCGCGCCATCGTGTTGATGTCATGCTGTTCCGCTCGCCAATACTCTCCCATGTGATGAACGATAGGATCCTCCCAAGTAGCCCTGCGACCGCCTGATCGTTGCAGTGTGCCGTCGTCACGTCTGCGTTTAAGAGTCCCCCGTCCGGATGACCGTCCCGAGGTCCCTGGTTAAGTAAGCGCGCGCCGACTGGAGGAGGGAGGCCCGTCTTCCGTCCTTGAGTCCCGCTCTCGAAGAGCTGCATGAAACTATCCTCGGAGTATGACAACATGGATGGGGACGTGACCGCAGTTGGCCATGCACTGCTTGATCTTATGCGAGGACCATTGCATGTAGTTCGCATGCTGCTCGCCGGGGCGCCTGCGTAAACGGAGGACTCTCCGCAACCATCGGAGTTTCCATGTCCAAAGCTTCTGGAGGAGGTCGCCGGTCAGGTGCCAACTCCGACACACGGCCCGCGAGCTGCGTGACTTCCTTTTCGGGAATGTGCCACCAGGCGAACGATGAGTTCACAGGCTCGAAAGTGAATCCAGCGGCTCCGTCCCCTTTGATCCGCAAAGGTTCGGAAGTGTCCTCCTGCGATGTCAGGTGGACGAGGCCCTGGCACCCGTTGACTTCGAGGCGGAAGTTCGAGATCTGGCAAACTACTTCTTGAACAGGGCGAGCGTCCCCTCCCAGGCACGACTGGCAGCCCTCTGCTTGGCTCTGATGTCAACAGGTAGGTCCTGCCGAATGCGCCGAGGAAACGTGGCCGATGTCCGAGGGCCCTGCCAGCTCACCTGCTTGTCACTCATGAACTCAGAGGAGACAGGGGCAGCAGCTATAAAACTGAAAGCGAGACTGTAACTTTTCGAAACACCCTTCAGCTGCGGCAGCACATCTCGACGAAGGTGTTCGGGAACCACCAGGCATAATACCAGATTCCAGTGCGCCTGCTTCCGCAAGCCAGTGATGCATCTCGGAAACGTGCCAACCCACCTTAGAGTCTCATTGATGGGCGGGCCAGCTGAAGACGCTCCCGCAGCGGAGGAACCTGAAGTCGCAGAGCTCGTCCCTGGGCCATTCAAGCATAAGTTTGATATCATCCAAGTCCTTGGCGAGGTTCCTGACCTCCTTCTCGAGCTGGGCGGTCCTGCTGGAGGCACCAAAGGCAGCCCAGGGATCCTGACGCGGAACACGATCGCCATCTGCAACTGAGTGGGCAGCACCGTCCACAGGCAGATTCTGAATCGACTCGAGCTTGGTCTCGGTCGCAGCCATTCTCGCATCACCGTCCGCCTTGTACCTGGCAAACTCCTGGATGATGTTGGACTGGGACGACTGAATGTGTGAAGCCATCGGCGCGCCGAGAGATGATGAGAAGGCACACGGCGTCTCGTTGAGCACGGACGTGAAGGCGGGCGCGACGTGCTCGGCAGTGTGCGCATAATTCAGCTTCGCTTGGTCAGTGAAGGACGTTGACCCATCATGCGGCTCCCCCCTCCCCCGCCTCGGCGTTGAAGCGGCTGCGGTCTCCGCTGCCCGAGAAAATCGCACGCACACTAGAGTCGTGTGCTGGCCACGTTCTTTCTGTCCTCGCCGCGGTCTCCTCGGCTCGGGCGGGGAACGGAAGAGCTGGCTCGATCGCTCCTGTGATAGCGAGAACCGTCTCCACTGGGCGCGCCTCCCCATCGCAAGACAGGAGGGCGACTTGGCAGCACGTGCGCAAGACGGGTAGGTGTGGGCAAAATGCAAAAATTACGCATGCTTTGGTGCACGACTGAGGTGCGAGGACTGACCTCGGATGGGACGCTTGGGCCACCCCTCGGCAGCGTCCCAGTTCGAAGCGCCAGGGACACACGTTTCGAATTTGAGCCAAAATGGCTACGGAGGAGGACGAGGAGGAGGAGCTGTAGAGACTCGTGGCAAAGGACGCCAGGGGCTGAGAGGAAGCGAGGGCACGCCTGATCCTGCGGTTTCGGCTACAGCTCGTGACGGCGCAGAAGCAAAGGGGCGCGAACCGAGAGGGGGACCAACCTTCTGAGAAGGCAGGGAAGGCCTCAGCGGCGACGGCAGGCTTCTGGGGAGGGACAAAACTAATTACCAAGGACACGCGGCCGCTCTGGAGCCCGTCAGCGCGTCACGTCGTCGTGTCCGATGACCCGATGCCTTTTCAGTAGCAGCGCGCTGATAGTGGGTTCCGCACGCCGGCACTTCACTGATGCTGCTGTTGCTCCCGCAGCGTCGAGGAAGGCCTCCCAGAAGGCAGGAGGGCTTCTCGGCAGCCCCCTCCCCCAGGCCTCCTCAGACGGCCATCCTGGCCGCCCTCTCCTGGCCGCCCTCTCGAGATGCGCCCAGCCGTGGGTCCCCTGGACGCAACCACCCACGCACCCTTGCAGGGCCTCGTGCTCCATCTGCGTGACCCGGCCAGTCACGTGCCACTTCCCGGATATGCTGAGCGCCGCGAGCCTGGAGAAGATCTGCTTGGGCCTCTGGGGCGGAAAGGGGAAGGGGAGGGGGAGAAGGAGGAGGTGACGAGGAGGAGGGAGGAAGGGGAAAGGATCAGGACGAGGACGACGACGACGAGGAGGATGAGGAGAGATCCTGGGCCTGTCGCCGGCAAAGCAGGAATGAGTAGCGAGAACACTGCGAAACCATCGCCCTCCTCATCTGGCTCCTCCCATCCTCTCCCTCATCCCGTCCCGCCCTCCCCCCGCCTCCCACAATCTTCCTGCCCCCTGCCATGCCATCTTGATGCCCCAACCGCACAACTCTCGCCAAATTCGTGGGCTGCCAGGAGGGCCCTGCGGAGGAGCGGTGTCCGACGTAAGTCCAAACGGGACCATCGTGCTCCCTGTGCGCTGCCAAGCGCGCAACTATGGCCACATTCGTGGGCTCATGAGGCCCAGCGGTGTCTTACGCAGAGCCACCTGGTGAGACCTCGCCACCTTCGTGGGCTCCTGGGAGGCCGAGAGGGTGCGTGCCTCACACATATCCGAACGAGACCTCGCCCTCCCGCGGGGCTGCCAACTGTTCAACTCTCGCCGCTTCCGTTTGCTCCTGGCATGCCTGGCGGAGTGGCCTTAAAATCCCAAGGATGTCTCGCCCAAGTGAGCAACTATAACCACTTTCGTGGGATCCTCGGAGGCGCAGCGAGTGGTGTCTTATGCAGACACAATCGATAGCTCGCCCTCCCTGCGGGCTGCCAAGTGCACAATCGCTGTCACGTTCGCGGCCTCGTGGTGTCCTACGCAGATTAAAACGAGACCTCGCACTCGGGGGGGGGGGAGAGCAATCGAGAGCTCGCCCACCCTGGGTGCTTCCAACTACGCAAATGTGGCCTCGTTCGTGAGCCGCTGGGAGACAGCAATCACCCTGGGTGCTGCCAACTGCGCAACTGTCGCCAGCTTCATGGGCTCCTGGGAGGTCCTGCGGAGGGCGGCCCTGCGCAGGACAAGATGGGCACCCTTTCCCAGGGAGCTGTTGTCTTATGCTCCCTACCCTGTACCGTCCTCGTCGTCCTGCTGTCCTTACGCGTCCATCTCGTGATGGGGTGTCCTCAAGTGTGTCCGTGACCCATGGGGCGTGCACAGCCATGTGTTCCATTTACAGATTGCGACAGGGACCACATGTCCTTTCAGATGATCGCGCTTCCTGGCTGGGCCAGTTGATTCTGCAGGCAGGTTAGTTACATCCCTGGGTAATTCAATGGCCGACCCTCTCCTCGACGCACGGGTCCTCGAAAGTCCCCCACAAAAAACAGCCAGTCTAAGACGACCCAACGGCTGCTCAAAGGCTCCGTGATGTCCCGAAGAGGCCACTAAAGGACCCGAAGAGATGCCGAATGATGTCGCCAGCCAGCTCCGTCAGGGGCCAAAGCAGCATCTGGGCGAAGGGCCTCTTCTTACGTAGGTAGCTGTGACTAGCGCAGGGCGGATGTGAAAAGGAGGCGGACGAGTAAACGGACCAGGACGATGACGAGAATGACGAGGACGAACAAGAGCACAGGGGGGACAGGAATGGCGTGTATGAGGCCACGAGTGCCAAATGATGCGGAAACGCAATGCGGCCTTTCCCAAAAGGGCCTTCGTTGCAGCTCCTCGTGTGGCTACGAAACGTCTGAGGGGCATACCGACATTGAACCCGGACCGCATGCGACGGTGCGCCGAAATGTACCAAGGACTGCACAGAGCCCCGAAAGGACCCCCAAGAGGGCCTCAATAGGCAGAAGCCATTGGTTTCCCATGAACTGTTTTCAATGAGTTTCAAGTTCTTGCTTTTCTAGGCGTCTGCAAGCCAAAAACAGGGTGAGAGGTCCCTCCGACTGGCCAAAAGACGGCCCGAGAGGCCCCTAATAGGGCCCTGAGACGGCCCGAGACGGAGCTCCCAAGACCGGGAAACAAATCCCAAGAAGGCCCCGAGGGGGACAGAAGAGAGGACCAATAGGGGAACCCGCAGGGGGCCCGGGAGCCCTCCCCCACAAGATGGCCCCCAAGACCCCCCGAATGCCCCCGCGAGACCCGCAGGAAGCCACCAGAGTGCCCCAAAAAGCCCCAAGAAGCTCTGAAAAAGCTCAAAATGGCTGCCCCCGAGGCCTCCATGAGGCCGTCAAAGCGAGCAGCGAAACATAACGAACACCAACATCGGAGCTGAAAGGCGACAGAAGAAAAAAAGTGAAAGACGCAAGCTCGGGTTGAGAGCTCAAGAAGCGTCGAACAGCTGAGCAAAAGCGACGACAACACAGAACCCGTGCATAGCTGAGGCCACACATTACGGCTACGCTGGCAGCGAAACCAACCTAACAGCGCCACGACGCCACACCTGAACATCACGACACCACAGCACTACTGCAAAAAGGTGCCACGACACTGCGACACGCCGAGCCGCCACACCGCGACAGCACGACGCCGAGACATGACGACACCAGCACCCAACGACACCAGCTCACCTGGACCACAGCCACGAAATCGCGACACCACGACAGCGAAACACTCGACTCGCCGCCAACACGGAGGAGCTGGAAGAGCAGGAGCAAGACGTTCGTCCGAAAAGGAGCCAGTGGCCATGGGAATTCGTGAGCAACGTCGCACGTACGTCACGCATGACACCAGTCGCGGAACTACGATTACCGGTTGGGACAACAACAATGCTCACACCCAACCGAATACTTGCACGCGCAGATGATAAAGACATTGCTCAAAATCGTGGCTAAACAAAACACACGAAGCCTCAATCCAACGAACCTGGTCGCATCCTGGTCGGTCATGTGGAAATGATGCCCATAAAACCTGAAGTGCACAGAAGACAGCTCATGCCCGCGAAGCAACAGATATGCGTGAGACGCGAAGTAAGATCGCGCATGAGATCGCACGTGAGACGCCCGTACGCACTCAGGCGCGCACACGTACGTACGTCAAGGTACAGGTGCTACACGCACATATGCAAGCATGGCCTGCGCATGAAACACGGAAGCGGAAGCGCAGTGCAGACTCACATAGTTTGTTACTGACACGCGAAGGACCACACCCAGACACGAAAAAAACAAACACTCGCAGCCCCTGCCAGGGGCTCCAAATCTTCTAGACTAGTTGAAGTCAAGGTCTAGCCAGAAGCCTTCTTGAGGCCCCACTCGCGCCTTGGTGTACGAGGAGCGCCAGAGGACACCTTCAAGAACGACCTAAGGAATCCCGAGTCCCTTCGGAAACCAGACATAGTCGTTTGTCCCAATGTTGAACGCGAGTGCCCTGTCACTAGAGGAATCGGCAACAAGTCGAGAGCCCATCCACGACCTCGAAGCGATCGGGTCCGATGCGCAGAGCTGCCAGCTTGCACCACGCAAAGCCTGCCACCATTCGCTGATCGGAACCAGAACTACTCACAGCTGCGCAAGATAAATCGCCTGGGCCACCACAGAGCACCAAGCAACGAAACGGTTGCTGAACTGTTGTGCAGTGTCTTGCAAATGTTTTCCAGTGTGTCTTAGAGCGGGAGCATGTTGCGTCGGCAATATGTTGCCCCACGTGTGCGTTCGTCCTTAACCATGGGGGCGAATCGCGCGAGCTTCGGATATTGCCTGAGGGATGGCCCGACAAGGCCCGAAATGCCGCCCCTCTCGTTCGACGGCAGCCAATGGCCTTGTCCATTGCAGCACGCCTCCACACGCCCCCTCCTCACGAACAATTCGCTGCGTAATCGAGTTGGGATCGAATTGGTCGAATGTCACCTGTGAGCCCTCTAAATCACGCCCAAATACAAACAGAGGCTAGCCCTACGGTGGGACCGAGCCCACAGCACGTCCATGCTCTGATCGTCCATGAAGCGCCTGGCAGGAGACAGCAGAACGACACCCATCGTATATAGCCGAAACTTCAGCTTGTGCGCTGCGCAATCAGGAACAGCTGTCAGCGCACGAGCACGGGCCAGCGAAGTCTAGAAGCGACCCAAGAGAGGGGCGTCAAGGAGCGGTTGGCAGGGAGGGCATGGGACCTCTTTAACGAACGATTGCTTCGGGGTCGGACCCTCCAACTCCCTCTGCCCCCCGCGCAGCCCCTCCGCCTCCCAAATCTCCTCCAGTCACCCCACTCACCCTCCGCCGTCGTGATCCTCTTCCTCCTCCTAATCAGATTCCTCATGCTTCTCCTCCTCCTCCTCCTCATCCTAATCATCCTCCGTACCGTCCTCCTCGTCCTGCTCCTTCCCATTCTCCGTGTCCGTCGTATCCTCCGTATCCTCCACATCCTCCGCATCCTCCTCCTCCTCCTCCACCTCCTCCTCCTCCTCCTTCTCTCCCCCCTCCTCCCCCGACTACTACGACTACTACGACTACTACGACTACGACTACGACTACGACGACGACTACGACGACGACGACTACGACGACTACTACGACTACTACGACTACTACGACGACTACTACGACTACTACTACTACTACTACTACTACTACTACTACTACTACTACTACGACGGCTACTACTACGACCACTACTACTATACTACTACTACTACTACTACTATAACGACTACTACTCTACTACTACTACTACTACTACTACTACGACTACTACGACTACTACTACGACTACTACTACGGACTTACTACTAACGACTACTACTACGGAC